AGAAAATAGTCGACTCCGGTTTGGGTTAAAGTTGTTGGAGCGTATGTTGAAGTCTCAACGTGTCACAGTAGGTGATATAGAAGAGATTGAACAGATGACCAAAAAACAAAAGGTGAGTACTGAACATTTCCTTTATTTGTATTAAGGATTACAGACCCATAATTATGAATCAATTAATATCGAATAAAATTGGTGTTTCTCACTGCTAAACTTCATTATTTGAGAAAATACCTGACTGACATTCATACTCATGAGGGTCTGTAATCCTTAATGAATTAATGCAAATATACCAGAAATAATAGATTAAATTGATCAGTTAACTAATTAGCAATTAATGTCTTAAGATAATTCATCCATTTACTGTAATTGGTGATTGGTCATTCTAAAAGAAATTACTCAGCTGTTCAGAATAGAATACTAATTGTGTGAAAATATTATGAATATATTAGCTTTTAGTTATACATCCTGCTTTATGTATTATATACATGTATGTAGCATTGTTACCTCATTTATTATTGTGTGAAGGTGTTTTTATTTCTTGAAGCCTTTCCCTTCATATATTTTCATGGACTATTTTGCAAACTTATGTTTTTGAATTGCGGGAAACCATATCTTTGTTTACAAACCTTTTGAGTTTTCCTTATACATCATGTAGAATATGTTTTCTTGCTAAAAATTAGAAAATAATAAATTTAATAATACAATATTTCCTTATATATACAAATTGGAATATCATGTAAATTAGAATGTCATGTAAATAAGGTGATTGTTATAAAGTTTATGATCTCTATTCTGAGAAATGAACATATGAGCTGCGTCACGACAAAACCAACATAGTGCGTTTGCGACCAGCATGGATCCAGACCAGCCTGCGCATCCGCGCAGTCTGATCAGGATCCACGCTGTTCGCTATCAGTTTCTCTACTTGTTATAGGGTTGGTAAGTGAACAGCATGGATCCTGATCGGACTGCACGGATGCGCAGGCTGGTCTGGATCCATGCTGGTGGCAAACCCATTATGTTGGTTTTGTCATGGCATGGCTCATATGTTAAATGTTTTAAACTACTTGAATATTGTAATTTACATTGTATTATTGATAGCCTGTGCATCAAAATTATAGTCGTGCAGTGAAATTTATTTTTTTAGTCTATGCCTAAAATAAAATATTGACCCAAAGTAAAATAGCAGTTCTTTAAGTGAGAAAAATTTGTTGTAAGCTTGAGAATCAGTGCAATGCTAGCAAGATAAAATAACCAACCTCATAATTAGCATATATTGTATATGTACCATGTTGTTTCAAACTTTATTGTCAGTTTTGTCAGCAACTTTGTATGAATGATGATGAAATAATTGTTTTATTTAGAGAATTAGGAGATAAGGAATGATCTCATACAAACATTTATATTATATAAACATATATCTCAGTTAACCAGACAGGCTTTGTTTCAATAAAAGTTACAGATTTATTCTAATATATGCTCACACATTTCAAGCATTGCAATTTTCAAAGATTTATATGTAACTGAAGTTGATTTATTTATTCTAATAAACATCCCGAGTGCTTGAGACCTTTAAGATTTACTGATTTAATTTTCCCACTAAATATACAATAAAACTGTATATCAAAAAGTTACCATACCAATTTTTAAATATAGGAGGGTTAGTAACTAATAAGAGAGGTAGGCTTAAAAGAAACAATATGGTAAGTAGTTATAGTAAATTGACTTGAGATCATGCTTTCCAATTAGTTTTACTTATATTTATGAATTTGTGGTTTTTTACTCTGCAGGAATCTATTGATACAAATTAACGACATTTCTATACATAGATCAGTTGCGATTTGACTGTTATACCATTCAAACATGCAAAATGGGATGTAAAAATCCTAATTGATTTGTTTGTTCAAAGATAAGGGAAAGGTTTTTGTGAATATAGTTAACAGAAAGATGGAATTATATACTTATACCATTTTCTAATTAACCAAAATTATGTGTAAGCAAACAACAACAAAAAACTGTGTTACCTCTCAAGATATTGAAGACGAATACCACATACATAAAACATTATGCTGTATACATAAACTAATTTTACGGAAATAGGAAAGTCATGTGATGTCTTGGGAAATTTGACATTAGTTTTCTTTCGGTAATATGACTAATTATATGTGTAATTACTAAAATAAAAGAGTTTTTAGATACTCTCAGTCATACAAACAATAAGACTTATATAACAAGAATAGTTTAGAACTTGGCATTTGTTATGTAAATTAAATTGACTTTAATCTGAACTTACCCTAAATTATGTCATTGTCTAATATGGGGTCAGAACTCTTAGTGGCTGAAAGGGCGGATGGACCCTTATTATAAACTTTGAACACACTCACTGTCTTATAAGGTCAGTCAATAATGCAGTCACTCTAGAGTTGTCTTTAAAGAAATTACAATCATTGACATTGGGAGTTAAGAAACATATATTCAAGTTACTTTGTTGATCATGTTAGGGTCAGTTGTGTCTTTTACAGAATTTGCTTAGCTTGAAATATTTCACCTGCAAAAATATCAAAAAAATGTAATTTCGCTTGCAGGATTTTCAGTTGTGAAGGATTTATATTTTGTAGGGAAATTTGAACTTTAAAAGATTAATACCAAAGTACATGAGTTCATTACAGCCCTGTGGTTACTTATTGAACATAGGTAACAAGTTAAATATTGGCTCTACATTTCATCTCTCAATAACCAAATGTTAATTTCAGGATATCACAGGTGAAAATTTAGACATGCCTGAAATGAGCATAGTTGAAATAGAAGCAGTAGAGAACCTAGTTAAGGATATAGGTTCTGAACTTAAACTACTACAGGTCTGATGATTTTATATTGCCTGAAACATTCCCTGTCATAATTCATAGTTACCCCACCTGAGCACAGTATACCTGACAAAAAATCCCTAATTTACAACAAGAAAATTTATGATGTGTATATACATGTATAATGTTGATATATTGCCCTTTTTGTACCATTTGTAATCATTATAAACAAAACATAGTGAAGGTGTATATCGACGCTTATTAGTGTAATTTTTTTTCTCCTGAAAGTCATTGCAAGCACACCTTTTTCCATTTTATTATGATTGTTTATTGAGGGATGGCATTAAATGTTCATGAATCTCTTAGTCTCCAGATTGTATTTAAAAAGACAAAAAAACATTTTGCATTTAAATAATCACTTTATATCATTATTTTGGCCATAAATCTTTCATTCAAGCAACAACATTTGGAATAAAACACATTTTTGAAAAACTCCTTCAGCTCAGGTGGGCAATTATGTCTCTATTGGGTCTCTTGTGTTTTGTTTGTTAACAGTTGTGTTGAATGTAGGTGCTGGTTAATACTGGATTCCTAATGCTAGCTTTTCCTTAATAACTTTAATTGATGAAATTAGGTACTTTACTTAATGAAATTAGGTACTTTAATTAATGAAATTAGGTACTTTGATTGATGAAATTAGATACAAGGTACTTTAATTGATGAAATTAGATACAAGGTTGTGATGAAATTAGATACAAGGTACATAAAGTAATTGATGAAATTAGATACAAGGTACTTTAATTGATGAAATTAGAAACAAAGTACTTTAATTGTTGAAATTAGATACAAGGTACTTTAATTGATGAAATAAGATACATAAATTGATGGAATTAGTACCATACTTAAATTCATAAAATTAGATACTTTAATTGATGAAATTAAATACTTAAATTTAATTATATTATGATTTAAAGATCTAATTTTCATTAATAAAAAAGTGAAGATGAATGACAAATTAAGTAAAGAGTAAATCAGTTCTATATGCATATTTCTGAATGAATATAAACTTTATTTTAATTTTTAAAACTAAAAATGAACTGCATGTTATCTCTGTTGTTTAATTTGCAATTTATTTTTTTGTCTTATTTGTTGCTGCTAATGTCATAGTGTTTTTATGTTGTTAATATTTGTATAAATATTTCATCATCATCCATCAGCCATAACACATCATCAATCATGCATGTTCTTGCCTGCCCTATAAATTCAGAAAAATGAAATACAGGAAGTTAATAAGTTTCCAAGAATTCACTCCTGATTGGTTAATTCAAAATTGATATAAAAGTGAATAACCAATCATACATAAGCATGTGAGACTGGTTTACAATCTGAAGTTGTTTAAGCTGCTGTAGTGGCAACAACTGTCACTTTATAGAAATAAATTATTAAAAATAACTGCAGTCTAGAACTCGAAAGCTTGGACCTTGTTGTTGACTGGACACCCTAATGATCAGTTTCATTCGGCAGTTATGAACCCCTCACAGGTCTTGTCTGTGTAGATTTGGCAAGAGGGTGATTGCATGTGTAAAAAATGGTTCCATGTTTGAGAGGGCTAATGATTGATAACTAGAGATAGTAACACCTTTGAGGGGCTTATGTCCTTGACCTTATGTACAGGTTCTTGTAGTTTGTTTGAAATTTTGGGGACTTATGTATTGTAACAAAAATATCAATATTTCATGGTTGCCTAATACAATGATTATTTTTTATTAGCATTAGATGTAGTTTAATATACAATGATAGAAATTAGTAATTATCTTTTGTTAAAATGTAACAAAACTTTAAATAAATTAAGGAAATAATACATCAAAACTTCAAAATGTATGGATGTAACATTAATGGGTTAGGAGCTAAACTTGAGTTAAAAATGGTATTTACATTGTTACTTTGACAAATCACATTATCATTAAATTTTGGATAAAGTTCATGAATAAAAGCATGTCTGCATGTCTGTGACATAGCTGTCAGCTTATTATTAGTTTAATTCATTTTTATAGCATTCAGTCATTAAAAATAGCCATTGTAAAGGAAAATGCATGATGGCATGAATATATAATGACACAATTGCAGCCTTGGTAGCATACATAATGACGTTGATATTTTTTGTCCAAATGTAGTGACATATTGCCTTAGATTTAATTTCAAACCAAGATGATCCAGATTCTACTACTGACACAGATGAACAGCCTCTACAAGGTCTATACAATACAATCAATATAAATTTTGTATGTTTTCTATTTTGAAGGGATTCCTACAGGATATGGACAACAAGAAAGCCAAGTTAGCACAGGTTCTCTCGAAGGCGGAGAATCTTCGTAAACGATCTCAAAGTGATGACGAGAAACGCACATTAAGAGAAAAGGGTAAATAAATTTAAGTGTTGCCTTATAGCATGCTTTGATTTAGTGAAGATTTGTTAAAGCAAATGTTGTGTTGTGTCTCAGTTTGTTGTTATTTTAGCAGTACAGGAAAAGGAGTTACGTTTATATTGCAAATAGCCGTTTATATACGGCCATGTAACATGTCGAGGATCTTTATAACAAATTTATAATACAGCAAGCATCATTTTTAGAGGAAAAAAGTAAGATTTCTTCATGAAACGACAACAGCCGTGTATATAAAACTATATAAACGTCACGATTATCCAATGAAAAATGATGTTACAAACGTGCAGTATAATAAAGCCCTATGTAAACAGTTGTTTGTATATTGCCATATTAAACCTGTCAAGAATCTTATAACAAATTTATAATATAGCAGTTTTCCTATTTTAGAGCAAAAAAGAGGTTTCTTCAAATATTGACAGCAGCCATGTATAATATATTATAAAACCATGTAAATGTCATGATTGTCCAATGAAAAGTGATATTACAAACATGCAGTGTTATATAACATGCAGTATTATATGAACTATGTGTATGTATTTTATTACAGCTGACAAGTTACAGGAACACTGGGATCAAGCTGTATTAAAGGCACATCAGAGACAGACAGAGTTAGATGATATGTTACTAGAATGTCACCAATTTGATGCAATGTATGCCGAGTTTGACCGCTGGTTAGTGACCGTAGAGGAAGAACTCAGTACCGATACTCCAGCCAACCTTAACACACGAAGACTCAACAAACAAAACAAGGTAAAAATCTTTGTATACCATGGTTAAATAAACAAAACAAGGTAAAAATCACAATGATGCCATGATTTCATAATCAAAAGAAGGTAAAAATTTATGTTTGCCATGGTTAAATAATCAAAACAAGGTCAAGTCTTAATATATCATAGCTTAACAAACACAACAAGGTAAAAATCATAGTATGCCATGGTTTAACAAACAAAACAAGGTAAAATCTAAGTATTCCATGGTTCAACAAACTAAACATTCTATTATTATTTTAAGCCAATACTAGTTTATATAGTTGGGGAAGGGAGATAAATCTGTTTGATAAAATGAATACAAAATGTATAGCATACATGATTTTGTCCCTTTGTACTTCTTTTCATAATGGAAGGTCCCAATTGTCACAAAAACTCTGAAAACAAATCAATAATGGGGATTGACATCTAAATTCTAGAATAATGGTAGCACCGTGCTAGAAACAAATATTATTAAATCATTTTTGTTGTAAAGCTGTTAATTATTCAGTTCCATAAGTGAGAACTACCCTTTTATATCACCAAGGGAGATAAATGTCATAATAATTTGGTACAAACTTAGAAAATGTGAAAAACTATCAACTCCGGGTTATATTGCTGGGAATGGATGATGGCACTATTATACTGGGGAATAATAAAAGGCTAGTAAAAAACATTACAATGTCTTATTTGGGGGGAAAGAATTAAGACAGAGCTGTTTTGAATGGCTAATCTATAATGACTGTCTAGTCAGCATTGTTTTATGTTTTCTACAGACAGTTTGTGAAAATATATAGAAAATATATAGTAAATGTATAGTAAAAAAAGTTCCAAATGAAGAAGGGACAATAAAAGTGACATAAGATTTGCAATTTTTTTCTCAATTTTATGTCACAAGTATGATAATAATTTTCCCTGTTATTGTTTAAGCTTTTTAAAACTGATATAGCTCAGGGTGTTCAGATAGAAGGAACTATTCCTTTGTTTTCTTGTGTCAATAAATTGTGGATAGTTTTTCAAAATAAAACTTCACTTTTGTTCTGTACTTTAAAGGGACTCCACTGAGGTATTTTGACATGATGGGACTGAAAATATTTTTTCCAGATAAATGTACCATTTGATGTAGGTTTAGACCACTAATCTTTGTGCAAAATTTCAGATTGTTCGCACACTTCGTTTTTCAAATGTTATGTTTTTAGGCTTTTAAACCTCAGTGGAGTCCCTTTAAGCATTAAGTTGAGCTAATTATCTTCAAACCATGGTCAGAAAAAAATGTGAAACCAGTCAATATTGAGGTACCCGTGATGATATATAAGAGAATGAGGTTTTTAATTCAAATAATAAGGAGACATGTTTTTGAGCCCTATTCTATAAACAGACAAATCAATTTATTCCAGTTGATTCATTTAACGTTATAGAGCATCATACCCTAGTTGAATTTGCGCAAAATACTGCAGACAAATAGAATTAACAATTTAATGAAATATATGGCTACTTATGGCTGCATTAAACACTAGATTGCATATTTAATGACCTGACTTTAATTGCTTGCAGATTATTATGGTTCAGATTTCAGGAACATTTGTAATAAAGCTGTTCGTTGGTTTTATGGCAGATAGATAATTAAATTAACACTGAACTAGGTGTTTTGCCTTTGCCACCAGTGTATAGCCAGACCAGCCTGCATGCCAATGCAGTTTGACCAGGCTCTATATTGTTGGCTGACCAACTTCTTACTTTAAATTGATATCCCTAAAATTTATATGGCCAATTTCGTTAAATCTGTTTCAGGTTAAGGGTTTAGTAAGTAAGTAGGTAAGTAAGTAATGACTTTATTTAACAAGACTTACACATTCGTTTTCCCGATCTTCCATGTGGGCCTCACCTGATGTACACAACATAATTACAATAAGTAAGGGTTTTAAACAGGTCCTAAATGTGTGAAAAACAGAGGAAATTAAATCTTTTGCTATTTAACATTGCTTGAAAGATTTTGCAATTGAAGGCTGCATGAAATATTTGATTATGTCTTTAAAGGACTGACTATTGTATTACAGACATTACAAGCTGAGGTTGAGGACTGGCAGGTTAAAGCTGATAATTTGAAACAACTTGCCAACAAGCTGATAGAGGAGTATAGAGAAGATGACACCAGTCTTATAAAACTACAACTAGAGAAAATCATGAACAGATGGTCTGCTCTACTTAATAGGTAATGAAATTTTTAATTATGTACCCTTTATCTGCAAAATATTTTGAAATATATTTACCCTGCTTTAAATTTTGAACAGTCCTTGGAACAGTCACGCCAGACCAGGCTCTATACTGTAAACTGCCCAACTTACATTTAAGTTAAAGGAGTGATGGCTTAGAGGTTAAGTTGTCTGCTTCTCAATCCAGGGATCATGGGTTCGAGCCCTACTTGTGTCACAACCATTTTTCTTCACATGACACTAGTACTGATTGGTTCCAGGAAGCGGACTCCAAAGTGATTAATATCAGTTGCAAGAACTTGTTTCGCAATCAAGCTTAAATAAATATGTTTGGATTAAACTAACTTCCGTCTTCATCTTGATATTCCTGAAGGGTTTCAATTACAATTATATTAGCCGCGTCGTGACAAAACCAACGTAATGCGTTTGCGACCAGCATGGATCCAGACCAGCCTGCGCATCTGCGCAGTCTGATCAGGATCCATGCTGTTCGCTAACCAACCCTATTACAAGTAGAGAAACTGATAGCGAACAGCATGGATCCTGATCAGACTGCGCGAATGTGCAGGCTGGTCTGGATCCATGCTGGTCGCAAACGCACTATGTTGGTTTTGTAGTGACGCGTCTCAATTATATTATTAGCACAATATTTTAAAAGACAGTCTAGAAAATATTTTATGAGATATTAACTCATTTTGTAGACTGGCGAACAATTTGAAGGCAGCAGAAAAGACGGTACAGACACCAGAACAATTTTACCTGGCGCTGGAAGAATTCTTTAACTGGATGGAGGGTACTGACAACAGTTTCACGAGACTGTCGGACGAGACTTGCAAGACGGAAGTTATACAGAATAAAGACCTTTGTAATCTCTACCTTGAAGAGTTTCGGGTAAGTGGACCTTTAACTTTAGTACTGTTATTTTCCTTACTTATCATGAATGTGGAAGTTTTTCCATGGCTTCTGGTCAAATTTGAGCATGATATTGGATAATTTATAAATATCAGAAATGGTATTATATGCAGAATTTTCTAACCCCATCCCTAATATTGGATAATTGCATTACTTTGAAGAATACATTTAATGAAACAAAAATGTTGATATATTAAGTATTTATAAAATGTGTTTTAAAGATTTGATAATACTGTGTGGTCCACTTTACTTTGTAGGGATTTAAATCTCTCTTTGTATAACAGTATTGAACTTCATAAATAGTGAAGCAAAAAGATCTAGTTTAATTTTTAAATATCTCTTAATTTCAAAATTGCAAATTCATTTCCTATTTAATAAAGAATTGCTTAATCATGGGATTTTAAATGATATGTGTGACAGATATTGGTTACATAATATAGTGATACTTGTCTGTTTTAATTCTGTATCATAACATGCTATTTGTGTTAAAACACATTTTCATTGAAGCAGAAGATAATTCTGATCATTAAAGATTGACAATCCTTGTGACCTAGTGGTCTGTCTGCTTAGATTAATGGGGAGAGTATCAGATTAGTAAGGCAGGGGGTGCTAGTTCGATCCTTCGGCTAGGGCGTAATTTCTTTGTGACAGTAAATTTTGGATATTGAGTCTAATGGTTATTTGTCCACTCGTCTTTCACTGTTGATAAATAATGTACAATGTTGTAGCCAGTCAATTGCAGCGAAATTGGTAATTTACTGGTTAGTTACCCAGAAAAGCTGGCTAAGTGGATTAACCCTCGTGATATGAGAAAAATTGTGTTAAAATCAGCATAAAAAATGCAGGACATAAAAACAACAAACAAGTAACCTAGTGACTGCTTATAACCTTGTTCCCCTAGGTAAATAATCATGTTACCCTGGAATTGACCATATAAATGATCTGTTCTGTCTTCTAAGTTTCATATTTTGCATGTTATTTTCTTCATGTTATATTAAACAGGTGCCCTCATTTCATAATAGCATTTTGTCATATTATGTTAGTAGAAATATCTCACACCTACATCATATTATATTATATTTCACTGGGTAATTCTATAAAGATAGGTAAACTATCTGATACTGCTGCAAACCAGCATTACCATGACAACACAATTTTATATTTTCTAAATATTTATGAAAATTGTAATTTTATGCTACATAAATGTTACCCATTCTCATATTTTGTTCTGCTTAGAAGCCAAATAACAAAAAAAGAAATTTTTCATTTTAAAAAAGAAATTTAGAATATGGTTATACCAACAAAAACGCAGATAATTTCAGTTGTAATAAATCTGAAATAATACAGAAAAAAAGAATTTCAGTATCAAATTATAGAATCCAAATAATTATTATAATGTGTGCAAAAATTACACTGGATTGTATAATTTATTTATGATATTAAAATTCCTAATGAATTGTGAACAAGTTATAATCTAGTATTTATACAGTAAAGTTATTTCACTTGTAGTTCTTCACTATAAAAACTGTCACAGTTAAACATGTTTTTGACTAGGCCCCATGTCAGCATTATTTATGAATAACAATTATTTTGATGACATTGGGTTGTATCACATGATAGAAAGAAATTATGTAACATTTCAATATTATAGGAGCTGTATGATCTTTTATAGTATAACATGATGTTTGTAACATCGATTTTCATTGGTCCATTCTGATAATCAAGATGTTTATATAACCTGCATACAGAACTGTTTTAAATTTAGGGGTCCATCCTCACAGTGCAAGCCATCATTAAGCCTAAAATACATGCACATACATACTGCTTTAAATTTATGACTTAAGTTTTAGTTTTTTCTCAAATAAAAGAATTAGTATTAAATTATTATAAATTTGTTATCAAGATAATTATTCTTTATAGGTTATATGGCCATAATATAAACAGACATTTATAATATAACCCTTATCACCCTTACCTAGCAGCTGGGGTTATATAATCTTATATAATACCACAATAAATAATGATATTGATATTTAGAATTTGTTGGTTTTTTAACTATTTGTCTTATTTCCACTATAATATGTCATATAAACTGTAAATAGAAATCTTTATTACCAATAATACATAGTCAACTCAAATATTGAGGACCATAAAATTTGAAATTCATTTCATTGTGATAATTCTTTTGTATTGATTTTTTTATTTTTCTTGGAGCTTAGATAGAAAAAAATTATTGTCAGGTGTTTGCTCCCAATATAATGGTAGACCAGGCAGAACATATCTTTCTTGCATCTCAGACAGGATTATCTACCGTTTACACTGGTGCTAGAAAACTCTGTCTTACACCCCCCATGTAAGACAAGTCGCGTGCTTTAAATGACGTCATTGACGCGCGCCTTTTATGAATGAATCGTGTTCTTAAGATGACGTCATTTTTCCGTTATAAATGAAGTTGTATGTTCATACGCTACTATAAGAAAAAAGTGGGTAATGAGAATATCAGTTTTCATAATTTCTGTTCCGAAAATAATTGATATGTTATATGCAAGAAATAGAATCAAACACCAGCTGTCGGTACAGACAGGAATATCTAGCTCTCGGGTGACTGTTTACAGCGGAAACTCGGCAGAGCCTCGTTACCGCCGTAAACAGCCGCCCTCGAGCTAGATATTCCGGTCTGTACCGGCAGCCGGTGTAAGATTCTTATAATAATATTATGAGATTTTCAGCAGCCACCACAATAAAGTCTGTTAACTTAAGCCTGTGTGTTAATCTACAAGCTGATCTTCATCAATGCCGTCTTAAATTCTACAAAGGCTTGTATACCTAGTCATTTTCTTGGAACATTTATATTTTGCAAGGGCTTGTATACTTAGTCCCTTTTTTGGAACATTTATATTCTGCAAGGGCTTGTATACTTAGTCATTTTCTTGGAACATTTAAATTCTGCAAGGGCTTACATACTTAGTCCCTTTCTTGGAACATTTAAATTCTACAAGGGCTTGTATACTTACCGTAGTCCTTTTCTTGTGACATTTATATTCTGCAAATGCTTGTATACTTAGTCCCTTTCTCGGAACATTTATATTTTGCAAGGGCTTGTATACTTCTAAGTCATTTTCTTGGAACATTTAAATTCTGCAAGGGCTTGTATACTTAGTCCCTTTCTTGGGACATTTAATTAAGCAAGAGCTTGCATACTTAGTCCCTTACTTGGGAAATTTAAATTCTGTAAGGGCTTGTATACTAAGTCCCTTACTTGGAACATTTAAATTCTGCAAGGGTGTGTATACTTAGTCCCTTTCTTGGAACATTTAAATTCTGCAAGGGCTTGTATACTTAGTCCCTTACTTGGAACATTTAAATTCTGCAATGGCTTGTATACTTAATCCCTTTCTTGGAACATGTAAATTCTGCAAGGGCTTGTATACTTAATCCCTTTCTTGGAACATGTAAATTCTGCAAGGGCTTGTATACTTAATCCCTTACTTGGAACATTTAAATTCATTTAAATTGATTCATTCACTTATTCATTTTCTTGACGCATGCATTGATGTCCTTTAGGTTGTGGAATACTGCATACTAAGTACAAATCCCTGAGTGTTCTGTAAGTTGTTCCGAGTTGATAACTTGTACAAATGTTTTTGTGCCTCAGTTACCCTGGTAGTTAACAGTTGATAAATATTACAGTAACTGAAGCAGTGTATCACACAATCATACTTATTGAATGTCTGCAGGGAGAATTTCACAGTGTCACTTTAATAGCTTATTGAAATTTTATTTTTACTAAGATAGAATACTTTCTCACATGAACATGTTTAAGATTGTATATATTTACAAGTTTGCATATTTTATTACTTTATATGGTGTTTGAACTTTTGATAGTAAAGCTTTTATGGTAGTTAAAAGAAGGTTAAACTTTACTTTAAAGTGTTACAAATTAATTTTGATTCAAAACCAGTTTTTGACTGATTGGCTGAGTTAGTAATGCACCTTAGGGAGTAAGGTAACTAGTATAAAATTGTTAATTTTCAAAATGCATTAACACCATTAGCTTGATATCAGTTTCTCATTTATAATTTAACTGGAAACATTTAGATACATAGATTGAAGGACAGTGTTTATATCATAATATATAATCCATTATGAATCAATTATTTTACTAATTAGTATAAATCAATAACTAATTAGATATAAGCATTAATTTTATAACATGAAAGTTAGCTGGAAGTTATATACTGTATAATTTACAAGTTAAAATGTCAACACCATACATTGTAAAATCATGACAAGATGTCTACAATACAGTCATATGTTTCTATATAAGCCAGTGTTCTAACGCTTGAAGATATGTTCCTAATGGTTACAGTTGGATGGCCAGTTTTATTTTATCATAGTTTCTTTCAATGGGGAAATTTTAAACAATGGTTGCCTGTAGTGACAATATTGGCTTATGCTGTCTGTTTTAAGTTGTGGTCTTCTCATACAGGTTTGACTATACATGTACATGTACTAATCAAGTAGTAGATCAAGGTGGTTCTATAAACAGTACTCTTGTAATTACAACATTGAAGATTTTGATGATGGAGGGGTGAATGATACTGTTAGACTCTGAGGGAGCATTCATTATAATATATTGGTATAGAGGTGGTTAATTTTACTTAATTTAAGCTAGTTTTGTGTAAATAATGAAATCTTGCTCATTAAATATAATAAAGTATCTCTGCCAAACAAAATAAAAATCTTTCCCTGAAGTACTACTAATTGTATTATTATAGAAGGGATATTTCAACATGTATGGTTTATATATATAAGTATATAGATGAAAGATGTCATACAAATTAGTGGTAAGATTTAAATTATTGGCACAAATAGTGAAAAGAAGTTCACCTTGGTTTCACTTCAGTGCAATTATATACCTAGATTTACATAAACTGGTTGACAAAAAAATTGAATATTAATGAAAAAAAAAATATATACCTATGAAGATAAAAGATAAGAAGTATCAGTGAAATTATACAGGTATTAAGTTATTGAAGATACATGCTGGGAAGGGTATAGGGGAATATAATATGTGAAGC